TGGATGGCACCAGCTCCCCCAAGCTTCCCAGCCACGTACAAGGTAGCCGTAGAGGAGCTCGCAGCGGGTAACAACAGCGAGAGCCAATCATGGGAAGGGAGGACGCGATGGGTCAAGGGCATCCTCGCAGCCATGTTCATGGGCCTTGTTTTCGGGTCGGCGATGGATCTGGGGAAGGTGACGCTACCGCTGGTGATCAGGGAGCAGTTTATCTTCAGGCGGGAGATCATGCTGAAGATGTTCTTGGGAGCGTCGGCGGGGTCGGCATACTGCATCGCGGGAGTGTCGCTGATCTTCCCCATGCACTTTGAAATAGCTCGCGAGGGGTTCATGAGCTCACTGCAGTGCAAGGGGCTGATACCGATCATTCTGGGAGCTTTCATCCTAGGATGCGGCATGTGTCTGTCAGGGTCATGCCCAGGGATGGTGCTGGTACAAGTCGGAGCAGGCATCCCTTACTCGTGGCTGACGCTCATCGGGGGCCTGTCGGGCGCGGCCTTGTATGGGGTGGTGCAGCCCAAGATCGAGCCGTACCTCAAGGCAGGGAAGATGAAGTCACCGAAGATCGAGGTCTGCATGACCATCTTCATCGTCATCCTCGAAGTGTTTTTCCCGTGGGAGAAGGAGGTGCCGGTAGGGACGACGCCTTGGAAGACGGCGCTCCCCCCAGAGCTTATGGGGGCGATCATCGGCTTCCTACAGATCCCAGCTATCCTGCTGATCAATACCACCCTGGGGAGCAGCTCGGCGTACATGACATATACCTCCCAGCCTCTTGCTATCTGCAAGAACTGCCAGGATATGAGGCAGTACCTGAACGCGTTCGTAGGAGGCTTCTGCGCCATCTTCGGGAGCCGGCTTGCGTCGGGGTGCACGAGCGGGCATGGGCTATCGGGGGTCGCGCTGCTGTCACTGAAGTCGATGTTTGCCGTGCCGGGGATGTTTGGGGGAGGGATAGTGCTGGGCTTCATCTACTTCTCGGTGGACTCATATCACTACACGGGGCGGTTGTACAGCTAGTCAAGCCTGCCGGCGTCGGCTAAGGAGGAAGGCCGCGCGTGAAGGGTGTGTAGTATCTGGAAGACTTGGGAAGGGTTATGTATAGTCAAGGGATAGCAGGTGAAGAGTACCTGCATGTGTGTTGTGTATTTGTCATTTTCTTACACTAGAAGGTTATTGAATACTTTATCATTCGTTATAAATGCAGGAACTCAACCGCGTTGGACCCGGACCCGGAGATCATCGCCGGGATTGCCGCTGGTCACTCTTAGTCCGATCCTCCAATTCAAAGTTAAGTTAATCAGAACGATCTTGTAAATTGTTCGTCATGAAAGTAGAGGATAATTTGTTTATCTATCAGGCATGTGTAAATGTTTATTGCTATCAGCACTCCCAACGGAAAGTGGATGGAGAGTGGGGGGGACCGAGCGACAGTAATGTGCTGTACTCTTGGTCTTCACTTACAGTCCAGGTATACAGCTTACAAGGCTCGAACAGAGGATCGATGTGAACATTTCGAGCTGCGGAGGAAAGGCCCTAAGAGTAGGAAGGCACATGCATTGAGAAAGCAGGCTTCAAGGATGAAGACGAGAAGCAGTAGAAGACGAAATGTAAACGAGACAAGCAGCAGGCGTGTGAGGAGAAGATGAGAGGTAAACGAGTCAAGCAGCAGGAGTAGGAGACGAGGAGAGGAGTAAGGAGGAGTAAGAGACGAGGAGAGGATTGAGCAGGAGTAAGACTCTGACGAGGACTCTATCAGCCTAGCTGGGTAAACCCAACCACCCACCCCCTCCTTCAAACGCCCCCAGCCCTGGCCCCTCCCGTCACTGGGTGATTTCACCTACGTGTAGAGGGCAGGCAGTGGGGAAAAACTGAAAGTTAATTTATCTTGAGGGGTGGGGTCCTCATTCAGAATCCGCCGTCCACGGGTACATGAATATGGTATATTTAGGGTGGGGGTACCGGTAGAAACAGAGTGGCACAGTGGCTGTGGCAACAATGAGAGAGGGAACTTGAAGGCAGAAGAGATCAACATGTGGTTTCATGGAGGCGAGCTGAAGATGGCTCGAAGAAACTGGACAGTGGAGACTTCTTAGTGGAGACTTCTTGTCCTACAAGTGACCTAGTGATGTCGAAGATTGGTCTGTGTAAATGAGTGGAGTGGTGTAATAGAATGTTTAGGACAAGAGAACTGAGAGGAAGGCAAGGCCTACAGCGAGAAACAGGAGAAGCAGAGATAGAAAAGATTAGCGATGAAAATGCTCATAAGGATGTTTTACGTTTTTCTGCGGGAATTTTGAGCTATAGAGAAGTCTTGATGAAACTTTGAACTTTGCTATTCCGCTAGCCTGAGCCAAACAAGTGTAGAAATAATTGGAACGCAAAGGGTCTTGCCAAAAAGATTTTTTCATCAAGGTGTTTTGAACGAGTATTTTTGTCTCATGTTGGAGCCAGGTTGAAGAATTCAAGACAAATACAGATTCACTCTCTTCACACAATGAACAATGAAGACAAGGAAAACAAGTACGAAACACCGATTACCGTGGAAGATTTGCAGATTGAAGAATGTCCTCCACTCTCCAAAGCCACAGAACTTTCAAGTGCAGGTGGATGGGTCGTGGCTGGGTTGCAGTGTAACGAGGCAGAAGGTCTTTCCGAGGATCATAGGACAAGACATATTCAGATAGTTCGGCCGCATGGTGATTTTATCCTCCAAAGTGCAGCGGATCCGAAAGTCAAGGACGTTCAGAGTTGTGGCCAGACACGGGACGATCAATGTGCAAGATCGCCCAGTGAAGAAGAAGTTCTTTCGGCGACCAGTACACCTCCGAATACTCTCAGGATTCAGCTTTCAGTCAACAGCACTCAAGGCGTTGCGACAGGGAAACTTCCAAAGGTATCAGTTTCAGTCTCAGGACCTCCTCCAGCGTCAGCAAGACTGAGGACGACGACATTTGTCAGGTTGACATGCAACGGGTAATCTTGACGGCCAAGTTTTCCTCCTTTCTTCTGAACCATCTGATGCTTGCCTTGTTTTGCAGGGGGAAAGTAGCTGTTGCTGGCACGGAAAGACTTCGGGTGACTCGGATGACTGATAGCAGAGCTCGATTGATGATGACATAATTGACATTGCGGGCAAACTGCTTCACAAATACTTGTACATACTCCACTTGTTCACTAGGAACTAACTTAGTAAACCGTGAAACTTTGAGTAATGGATGTACCGTTCATACTATCAGCGTACTGGCATGATCGGATACCATGGGCGGGCCCGCCCGGCCCAGCCGCCACTGAGTGTCCGACTGCCAGGCAACCATGACTCCGTCCCCGCCCGCGGCCCGGGCCGGTCCGGCCCGGCGGCGGGTTCCGAGTCACAAGTTCCGGGTTCGGCACTGCCGGGCCTTCACGGTGCCGCAGACTGGCAGCAGGAATGATTTTTTACTTAATCTGTCTTGAGTAAAGTCAGGAGGACTGGCGGGCGATGAGAGGGCCTGTGGACGAGCGCGCAGTCAACAGAGTTGTACATGTGAGGGATGGGGGATGTAGATAGCTGAAGCAAGGAAGGATGCAAACATGAGATTGTTTTGAGCAGATTCTGAAAGTGAGGAGAGAATATCAAACAAGACCGGAGGGAAACGCCGTTGGACCATATGACCGACGCCGTCATTGAATGCTTGGGACTCACTCAAGAGGAGGAGAAGGTACAGCGAGTTATCTCGTACTTTTCACCGTAAGATGAAGTCAGAAATCGATACGAATGTTCCTGACATTGTGAGGTCCTAGATGGGAAATCCAAAAGTATCCGTCAACAGGAAAGCTTCCGGCTTGTGAGTATCATTCATGCAAGAGCAAGGGAATACAACTATGTGAGCTTCAGGTCCCCTCTAAACAACGTCTGAGAAAATAATCGTGAAGGTTTCGAACAACATTCATCAAGTGTGATTCTATCAGCAGTGCATTTCTTCAATGAAGGTCACATTCAAGACGGGATGTCGTCGTGGTGACCAAGGTGACAGGACAAGATGGGTTTTCAAAGTACCAAGATACTCTCCCCCATGAATTGAGCTTTGATCTCACCAATGTAGATGGTCGTCGTTCTCTTTGATGCCTCTGCGTCTTCTTTGACAACACAACAGTGGTCAAGAGGTTCGGAGAGCCGGAGGGCAAGGGCGGTCACCATGTACCTGTGTGGCTTTCATACGAGCAGAAGGGGCTGCAGATCAACTTTGAGGGATTCTCTTTTGAGGATCGACAGAATAAGATTGTGAGTTGTCTTCGCTCTGCCCTCAACCTTCCTCTGACTTCTGACAAGACCTCCGTCATCCTCTACTACAAGCAATGACTGTCAAAGACCGACCTTCGAAACATCCCAGTTTGATCATATTGCGTGAACGTTCACCAAATGGTTTAATGATAGGGAAGAAAGGTGTTGGCAAATTTGTCTGAGAGAAACTTTATCATAAGACAGTACAGCAAGTGTAAGCGTAGCGGTGATGACCCCAAGGGCAATTCCATCTGGTAAAACTCCAACTTTTGATGCCTTCCAGGTGATCGCACTGAGCCATGATTTAGTGAGAACATAGTCGATAAGACCAAACACGCGAACGTACCTTTACGTCATGCCGATCAAGATACTCTGCCCTGTGCCCGTCGGACACTTGGCATGCAGTGTACACAGCCTTTTTTTTCCCACACCATCAGTGGCTCATCGAAATAAAGGCAAATCGTCATACTCTGCAGCTCTTGAGGCCCCTGGTTGCGGAACAGCATGTGTAGTCTGTGCGAATTTGCTGCCAGCTGCAAGAATGCTGGAACAAACCGTGCTAAGAGAAAGGAACACATTCAGGTCTGCTCATGATACCACTCGGAAGTAGGTGAGGAGTTTGTCGCCAGGGCAGGAAACTGTTCCACAATTCGATCAGACAGGAAGTCCTTTGACGCAACTTGAAGGTTCAACCTGACTGACGGTCCCAAAACTCAAGGTTGCCTGTCAACTGACATCCCGTGCTACGTGACTCACAGCCGCCGATGCCGATATCTGAGCCTTGTGCGCAAACGCAGTGCTGAGGTCGTTCCCTTGATCAGTACCTCTCGCTCCACAATGAACAAAGTGCACCTTGACAGCGCCTGGATACGGGTCTCCGAAGGAACCATCGCTGAACATGAATCGGTCAACAAGGATGTCATGAAGCCAAGGAACTGTACTTGCAATAGACCCTTCCGTTGATTGTCCGATAGGCTGACCACCTGGTCCCTTGCCCATATCTTACGTAGCCATTACAGTCGCAGAATCCCCCTGAAACGAGATCAAAATTGCATTTCTTCAATGCCGGTACCAGACCTTGTTGAGAGCAGGTTTGCAGTAGAAAGGGATTCAAGCAGGTATACCTTGATAAATTTCAGTCTCGAATGACAAAATGATACAATTGTCATCACTCAAAATGCATGTCATTGCTCCCTGCACATCCTCTCAATCTTTGTCGTTGAAGGAACCCCATTCCTTTCTTTTTATTTAACCAGCAATCGATGCCGTGACGATCGTAATAGTTGAGAATTCTTCCTCGGACATCATTGCATGGTGTAGCTTCTTGATACGCACGAAAGATCTGTCTACAAGGTCAATTTCAAGGATTTCACCATCCGATGATGTTACCCTCATAGGTCCACGAGCTCCGGCACGTCCCTCTGGACCAGGTGGGCCAGCCCTTCCTCTGCCTCCCCTGTTCCCAAGGGCACCAGGAGGACCTTTCGGACCAGGAGGCCCCATATCCCCTCTTCACAGTGCAAGTCAGCAGAAAGAACAATAGGAGTTGCTCAACTAGATTACGTTGGTCCCCTCTGTCCGATGGGTCCGATGTATCCTTTCCCCCCTGGGCTTCCGATGTAGCCCTGAGGGCCTTTTTCTCCAATATCTCCCGTCTCTCCTCGGTATCCCTTCTGTCCAGGATGTCCTCTTGGGCCCTTGGGTCCCACTATACCAGGGCTTCCACGCTTTCCCTGGGCTCCAGGAGGTCCTGCATACCCTTGGGGTCCCTTCTTTCCCTGTGGACCTTGCACTCCAGGCCGTCCTTGGTTCTTACCAGAAGAGTCATGGGAGGAAGTGAGAGACTTCAGTGGAGCACCTTCAACGTCATCGCATCGATGATGACTGAAATCCTACTGTTGAGCTTCTTCTTGGCCTAGCACACGAGCTCTCAGCCGGCTCCACGGGCGCATCGTAACAACTCACGTTGGCCAAAACTTTCTTGAGCATGTCGATGTTCTTGGAGGCAGAAGTGATGTCGCGTCCCAACACCTGTTGACAAGTCATCCTGTTCCACAGGGACACCAGCATCCATGTCTCACAGATGTTGCCGAGTGTACATCACTTTCACGATTGCAGCACTTGGGATTGTAATTCCTGCTCAAAACGCCGTTCTCAACACAACACGCGCGGCAAGGGAACGGAACCCACCCCCAGGTATTATCTGGTTCCATGATGTCACTCAGGTCGTTGCATTCACATCCTAGCATCTCAAACAGCTGCTGTCTCCGAGCAGCAGCTCTCCGTGCCCTCACCATCCTCGGGTTCCACTGAACCCCCCTGACGGGTGATGCCTCCTCCACGACCTGGTAGTGTTCATCCTCCTCGGATTCCCAACCTGCCATGAACACGATGGCAACCATCGTCAGCACCGCAAGCGCGGCTGACGCTGCTGCCCACGACACGCGACTGTTCTTCGCCATCCGCGTCTCTTCGCACTGCCGCAGGCCGATCACCCCACCGTCCTCAAAGTCCCACTACCCCTGGTTGCAACTGGAACTAGGGTGGTATGAACCTACCTACCACCCATGGTTGAGATCAGTGTGACAACAATGGCACACCCACCGGTCCTACTAGCAACACTAGGCCCGGAGATCCAGTGACCCCACTTAGGCCGCTGTCAGTGATCGGACCGGACTGTCTGTCCGATCGGACTGTCGGCGGTCACGCGGGCCCAAGGCACTGGCACTGGGGGACTCCGGCCGGGATCGGATCGGCCGGGCGGCCCTGGCCGCGCAGTGCTACGGTGCCACGGTGCCAGTGGGCCGGCCGCCCGGCGCGCCCGGCACTGCGGCACGGTGGCAGTGGGCTGGCCGGGCCCACCGGGTCGCCGCACCGGCCGGGCGCCGGGCCTTCAGGATTTCGGGAAGGACACCGGTCAAAAATCAGCACGGACCGTACTTCAACTTAGGCTTCACTGAGTCAAACTCGGACAGCCGCGGCGCATCATACCTTACCTGTGTGCCCTATCATGATCCGATGATCGGACCGTACGCCGACCGTGGTGGCATACCGTACCCGCCGAGAACGCGCGGCCCCCCGGCTGCCAGCCTCGCCGGCGGCGTGAATCGTTAGTAACCGGGGGCCCGTAAAAGATCGGAAAAAAAGGATAAAAAAAAAGAGCGGAGGCAGTAAAGTTTTTCAGCTGAATTGATTTGCTGCCTTCGTGAGGGTCGGAGCGAAAAGTGTTACCACGAGCCTGAGGTCTGACGACCGCAGGTGAAAGCAGGTCTTTTCGATTACAGAGGGTTTATGAGATGCGACGAGATATTGGCGAGATTGTCACCTCGAGGGTCGGGGTGCTCAACCGTTGTATCTATTCGAGGCTGAATGAGACGGGTATCGAAAATTCCCTTCCTGAATTGAACAATTTTCCATATCATTGAAAATTTGTGTCAAATTTTGAAAAATATGCTAGAATTTGGAACAGGCAGATTGCGGAGATTGCAGGAGATTGAAGGGGAATTTGATGGCGTGGGGAACAACGAGGAGGATCGAACGTAACATATGAAGTGTTGTGCATGAGAGAAAAGCGAGACGAACAAGTTTGAACTTTGCAAATCATCTGAAGAAACAATCCTCGGGATCAAGATGAGCGTTGCCGCTGGCATGCGAAGAAACCTTTCGGATATCAACTTGTCAATGCTGCCATTGCAACAGGAAGTGGTCGCAACCAAGGTCCAACCAGAGAGGAAACTGTCTTGGGAGTATCTCGATCTCAATGAAATAGGGAAAAAGCCTCTCATGCTCGGGATAGAGGTTTTATTTCAGGATTCCACTTCAGAACACTGCGCAACAATTGGACAAGCCCTGGACAAGGCTCAGGAAGGCAGTGTAATCCGGTTATTTCCAGGGATCTATAGGGAAGAGCATACACTGAGGATTGAGAAAAATAACATCACCATCGTGTGCTCACAGAGCCTTGAAATGTCTTGTGTTGTCCTTCTAGACTGCAGCGATTCCATGCCCCTGATCGAGGTTTGTGCCGACAACTTCACCATGATTGGAGTACAACTTTCTTGCTGTGACAACTCTTTGGCGCCCTCGTCAAAGGAAGACTTTAGGAATTGTATCCGAATTATGCATGGAAGCCCGGTCTTCGAAAGGTGCAAGGTTTTTGCGTTCAAGGGCATCAGTGTGTTGGCCTCGGAGAGTTCGTCACCGAGGTTTGTTCAATGTGAATTCGAGGTGAAGTCTCATATGATATAACCCTCTCTTGCTTGTGTGACCCGAACTTGACAGAACTGTGTGGGAACTACCGTCATGATAGTGGAGAGCTCTCAACCGATCTTCATCGGAAACAAGTTCAAAAACAACTTCGGATACGACGTGGTCCTTCGAGACTCTTGCAAAGGGAGATTCGAGAGAAATTTTTTCTACGGCACCAGAAAGGCAACGGTAGCAGGTAATCTGCCATTGCCTGGGGATTGATCGTCTGACTGCAAGTCCACAGCGATGGACTCTTCGGAGACAACATTCTATAAGAACACTTTCGAAAGTAGCAACCAAGGAGCTCTTTGGCTGCAAGGATCTTCAAGATGTAAGGTTGTCGACAACATGATGAGAGGAAACGGCAAGACACACATCCAAGTCAGCCATCGAGCTGAACCCACTGTGACTGGGAACTCCATGCTCAATGGTCAGGGAGGTGGTATTGTGGTGCATGATGAAGGGAAAGGTTTGTTTGAAAGGAACGTTATCAAGGGAAATGAACAAGCGGGGATTGGAGTCATAGATCGTTCAAAAGCAGTCTTTATTCAAAATCAGATTGAAGAAAATGGAGGGGGAGGAGCGGCGATCGATGGTCAGAGTGCACCGATCTTTGAGAGCAATGTGTTTAAACAGAACCTTGCGCATGGAATCTGCATCTCTGGTGTATCTCAGCCTTTTATGATCTACAACAACATTTCGAACCATGATGGAAGCGGGATTCTTATTCAAGATGGAGCTCATCCCTTTCTGCAGCAGAACAAGGTGGAGTCCAATTCCCAAGGTGGGATCATAGCGACTGGTTCCTCCAGGCCATCCGTTCACCAGTGCACGATCTTTAGTGGTGAACAGATGTCACAGCCTCTGGGGCTGCTCTGCCGTGACAATGCTAGAGTTGAGCTGGAAGAGAACAACATCTGGGGGCATCCATCGTGTAACGTGATATTTCGTGATTCGTCCATAGGAAAGATGTCTGGCAACGAAATCTCCAATGGTCAGTGCGGTGGGGTCATTGTACAAGGCGAAGCTTGCCTCAGCCTTGTCCACAACACGATTAAAGCAAACGGGATCTGTAACGTCGGCGTCTTGGAGAGCGGCTGCATCAACTGTCATCACAACTCGATTCTTGAATCCACAGGTTGTGGGATCCTCTTGCTGGGGGATGGGAGTTGCGAGTGCAAGTTCAACACCGTCACGGGTAACAAGAGCATTGGGATCAGATGCTCTGGAACAAGTCATCCAGTCCTCACTCACAACCGAATCTCGAACACGAGCAACGGATGCGGGGTTCTTATCGGGGGGCGCTCCAAGGCTGCGCTTCGATACAACCTCATCTTCGACAACGGGGAGTCTGGTCTTGCGGTGAGAGACAAGTCGAAGCCTGAGATCTACATGAACATCATAGTGCCCAAGTCAAACTCGCATCCTGGCACCCTGTACATCTCTGGCTCTTCGAATGCAAAGATCAATGGGAATACTTTTGTGATCACATGTCCTGCCGACCTGCGAATCACCCAGAAGAACAAGGGTTTGTTGATGTCCAACTCAATTCTCGAACTCCAGGAGTTTCCAGACATTGTTGACGAAGCCAGGAAGATTCTCGAGGTGATCCATATCAAGCATGTGGTGGTCCAAGGGCCGGATCCAGACGAGCCGATTGTGCTGGGAAGAACGAATCCTCAGAATCTTATCGTGGAAGAAAGCGATGTGTCAGCGAGGCCGAAGTGTTCACATCGGTGAGTTTCAGTCCCTTGACGCAGGCAAGCCCCTTTTACTCACACCCATCGCAGGAAGCTCCTCAGTCGCACTGAAGACGACGTTCCATCTCGAAGAGAGGTTGAAAGCCATGGCTGTCTGGCCAGAACGGGCGAGTCAAGCAATGTCTCTGCAGATATTGCGAGCGGTCTGTTTGTCGTAAGGTATCCACCACTCTAGCTTGTCTTGACAGGAACTCACTGAGGTCTTGGCAGGAACTCTAGTCTCCACTCAATGTCGTCTCGTCACGAGGAAGCTGGTGAAATTTCCTTGACTGGCGCAACCTTGTATCTGATCGTTGTCCGATGCAGGCGAGTGCGAAGGACACCATAATTTCCTTGAAAGAACCGGAGGCTCCAACGGGCGACCCACCCGAAGTGCCTCGTGCCCGCCGTCGCCCTACCGCAACGACGTGTGAGGAACCTCGTCGATGAACCTCAAGGTGTCACCTGAAACCCCCGTGTTGACTCAGTTTGCTGTGTTTCACTGCTGTACATAAAGTGTACCTACTAGTCACTTGACCGTCGGCTACAGCGAAAGGTGACTCGGAAGGTTTAGCTCCAGCGAGTTTAGGTTGTGTTTTAGTTTGGTTCTGTCAAATCTAGTCTCATTGCTGTGTAAGGGGGTAGGGGTGGGAGTGGGGGCTGAACGGGTCTATCGCCCAGAGTGGGGCAGGTTATTTCCCAAGGGGTGGGTGAAAGTTTGGAATATATAGCTCAAACAAAGGGGTGGGGTGGCATCTGGAGATGTTTGCGGACATGCAGAAATGCCGCACGTGCTGATGAGGGGAAGAAAGAGGAGAGGAGGACATGAAGAGAGGGAAGGAAGAGGAGGGAGAAAACGAAAGGAAGATGACATGCGAGAAGAGGAGGAGGGAGAAGACGAAGGAGAGGTGGAATTAGGCGATGGATGCACAGACATGAAAAGGAAACAAAGGCAGGCAGAGATCAGGGCCAACCAAGGCTGAGGCAGAAAGGAATTGTGAGGGGAGAATTAGATGAGATGCGAAGCTACATAGAAATATTTGAAATTGCAACAAGAGTTAGGAGCAATTTGATGGGCAGACTAACTCAATTTGCTGATAGTGCTTTCTCGATTTGAATTTCTTTGCCTGGTGGATTGATTTCTGTGTGGAGCATGGGGAGTTCGATCTACGATGAGGTGGAGATCGAAGATATGGAGTTCAATGAGGTATGCGACAGGCTCCCCATGTCACATCTTCTCGGCCAACTAAACTTGATCGCAGGAGCTGAAAACGTTTTTCTTTCCTTGTCCCTGTGGAGATCGCTTTCAGATCACTGTGGTATGGCTGGCCGTGGATAGCTGTTGGTGACCATGACATGCTCTTCGTGCTCATCAGGACGAGCTGATTGATGGTGAGGACATCGCAAGATGCCCCAGCTGCTCGCTGCTGCTCCGAGTTATCTATGACGAAGAAGCCATTGAAAAGTTGACCGAGAGCGGATGAGGGCGGTGCGGACAGCTGTTCTCCTGCTCGTTGTACATGTCGAGAGAGCTGCTTGTTCGCTACCAGCGCTCTTCGCTCTGTTGTCTCCTCCTTCTCAGCTCTCTGATAGACGCTGAAAATCATGCGGATCCAAGCGAAGGAGTACGGGAAGGGACAGGAGCAGGGACAGGAGCAGGGTTTCGGGATGTTTTTATCGAGCTGGCCAACACCTCGTTTCCTCTGGACGTAGACGCACTTCAGGTTCCGGGATTCGAGGTGGTGGTGAGAAGAGAAGAGCGGCATTGGACCAGGTCGCCTCCTCGTCCTCTGCTCCATGCAGACTGCGAGGGTCTTGAATCCATTCAGCGTCCTACTGTGCTCAACACGCACAGGGTGCTGTACACGGGAGGACACATGGCGAGCCTGCCGTACCTGCTGCGCGAACACTGCAAGGTTGGGCCGCCGAAGATGGTGGACGAGGTTGCCTTCGTCGTGAGGAAGTCGAGGGTGTGGGTTTCCCGGCATGGCGCAATGATATACAGGGATGGCAGGGGGACAGACAAGGGGCGAGGTCACAAGCGATGGCGAGTCTTGATGCAGCACCCCGAGTATCACAACCTGAACACGAGAGAACTTGAAGATACTCGCTGCTTCGAGTATGCAGATGTTTTGGTCAATCTAGGTCAAGTCCACTCGCACAACTTCTATCACTTCATTGCTGAGGTGCTCCCTCGGTTGCTGCTGGTCCCTCCACCCGTCCTTTCGCGCGATGGAACACGGGTGCTGCTTCCTCCTTTCAGCAGGGATCGCAAGAACTTCGTGGAATCGTTTGTGGAGCTGCTGGACATCAGGAAGGATAAGCTAGCGTCCTCGCACTACCTTGGTTGCCTGCACTTTGCAAGGGAGGTTTGGTTTTCATCCTACTCTCCTTTCAGGTCGTCTGCCTTGCTGCCTCCTCCTTGTCTCCTCCTTCCTCCCGTGCTCTGCTCACTGTCTTCTCCAGATGGCACTCGCAGACCCCCAGGAACGCGCTCCTGACTGTTCATTTTACAGTCGTCGAGCGGACAGCATGCAGCTCGAGCGACAGCTCCTCCGACAGCCAGCTTGTCCTCCTCTCTCGGCGGGAAGAGGAGGAGGATCGGGGGGGAGCGAAGAGTGACGTGCAGAACTGGGATGACGTGGAGAGGTGGATGGCAAAGAGGATGGATCAGGGACGAAGGATTTCCATCGCTACCATCTTCCCGGGGCGAGAGAGTCTGGAGAGACAGGTAGCGACTGGCTGCTGCATCCTGCCATGTTGAGCTGATCGCGCGCCAGGTCTGCTCCTTCTCCTCCGTCCATGCTGTCATCGGCTCTCATGGCAGTAACCTCGCCAACATGTTGTGGATGCCAAGGGGCTCGTTGGTGTTTGAGATTCACAAGTAGGATCAATGATTCCTTGCCCCCTCCTGCTGTTACTGTTTGTGCTGCTGCTGCTGCTAGTGGTGGTGGTCGTGGTGGTGCTGCTGCTAGTGGTGGTGGTGGTGGTGGTGGTGGTGCTGCTGCTGCTTCTCCTCCTCCTCCTCCTCCTCCTCCTCCTCATCATCGTAATTGCCGTCGTCGTCATCATCTTGCTCAGCTCGATCTCTCACGTTGCATACAGACCAGCCAACGAGCGAGGTCCGGTCTTCGCCAATTTCTGGCACATGGCGGAGGCTCTGGAACTCAGGTGAGAGGACAGAGCAAGGAGGAAGGAAGGTGATGAATGAGAGTAGGTGGAGGAGGGAAGGGAAGGGCAGAGAATGAAGTAGCGGGGAGAGGGAAAGCAAGAAAGAACGGGGAGAGGAGTGGGGAGGGAGGAAGACGGGATGAGTCGAGTGAGATGAAACCAGGTATCACTTCACCCTTGCTCATGACGGCTTCGTCCTCACGGAGAAACAAATTGATCGCGTCCTCGCTGCTCTACAGGGAGGGTGAAGCAAAACAGAGACGCCTTTCGCGTTCCGTTGCCCCGCTCTTCCACTTCCGCCCTCAACCACTCCTCCCGCCCCCCTTCCCCACTTTTTGTGCAGCTCCTCTCCCCTCCTCTCCCCTCCTCTCCTCTCCTCTCCTCCTGTCTCTTGCCTTGCCTCTCCTGCCCTCTCCTCCCTTTATCTCTCCGCGCTTCCTCTCTTCTTAACTCACTTGTCGAGCTTTGTTCTGCATTACATTTACACTACATTCCCTTCCTCCCCTCTTCCTCCTGCCCCTGTCGCTTCACCAGGAAGTGTCTCCTCAGCTTCACCGCAAAGTTTCCAACGACCCTTCATGAAGAGTTACATGTCAAACTTTCTCAGCTCTGGCTCGCACCCAGAGTTGGGCCTCCTCAAGTGCAGCTGGACGAGAGTACCAGGTGGGCCAGTGATGAGCTCCGACACTTCCTTCACCGACATGTCCTGCAAACATGCCAACCTGAGCTGGGCCTGAGCTGGAGAGTGAGTATACCTCGGTGGGCCTCCCGTCGATCGCAACGAGCTCGTCTCCTGCTGCACAGTGACGAAAGGGAGGACCTGGAAGACAGCGAGGAGGAGAGGGAGAGGAGAGATGGTGGAGGAGATCGGATGTACAGGACAAGTGCGTGGGAGAGGCGGGGAGGAAGCGAGATGCAGTAAAGGAGCACGAAGTGGAAGTAGAGGAGGAGCTGGAGAAGCAAGGAGATCAAGGACTTGCCCGCTAGCACGACGTCTTTCCTCGGCATTCCGCCTTCCTCCAGCAGCACCTGCTGACATATCAACCTGTGGCACCGACAGGCCGTCGTTCCTCACCCCTTGCACACTGAGAACGGTGAAGGGAGCACGGAGATCAATCTTCAACCCTATCCCAAAGTCCTTGGGGCTTCCTGCTGCTGCTGCTGCTGCCGCTGCTGCTGTTGCTGCTGCTCCCTTTGCTGGCCTGTGAGCTTCTGCCGAATCTCGCCATTGCAAGGTAGGCATATTTTGGTCAGCATGCTGCCAGCTCTCGTTCGAGCTGTTCAATTCCAGCTGAGAACAGTCATGACGTGAGAACGAGATCAAATTAGGTCTGTCACCTTGTTGAGTAAAGTTTGTATGGAGTGAAGGGCTTCTTCGCCAGAGGAGAAGGAAGACGTGGCGAGGTGAGACTTGAGGCTGCTGACCAGCACGTCCACGTCACTCTCACGCCCCTGCGGTGGCCTGACAAGCCTCGATCTTCCTTCCCTCCCCTCCTGCTCCTCCTCCCCTTCCTCCCGGTCTCCGTCCTCCTCCCCATCCTCCCAGTCTCCATCCTCCTCCACCTCCCTCTCAGCTTCCACTTTGTCCTCCTCGTCATCTTCTTTCGCATCCCTCTTAGTATCCATTGACAGCTCGTTGTCCTCCTTGGCAATCCTCTCTTTGACCAGAGACAGCGGGGAGATCGAAGGAAGTTTTGCTTGACCTCGTGCGAGAGGAGAACGAGCGTAGGAGGCGAAGGACAACGAGAACGGGGAGAAGGAGGAGAGGGGGGGGGAGGAGATTTCTTGCTTGTGCAACTCCAGCATACGACCGGAAGTTCTGTGCTGGTCCTGCACGGCTGATGGGGGAGTGGAGACACTGGCAGCGAGGATGGCAGAGGAGGGTATCCCTGCTGGGAGAGAAAATTGCTCGGACCTGCTGGGAATGTCGGGCGAGCTCTCTCCCTCAGTCTCGTAGGAGCACGTTGGCTCCTCGGACCCATCCATGTAGATCTTCTCCTGCTCCCTCGCTACCTCCTCGCGCTCCCCCTCAGCCTCCATCCAGAGCTGCTGCTGCTCCTTCCCTGCCCCCTGTATCTCCTCAGCCTCCTCTTGCCTGCTGATGTCCACCCCGTCCCCTGACGTCTCGAACGAGGCGCGGACTTGCGAGAACAGCTCTCGGGGCCCTCCTCCTCCTTCACCTCCTGCCAGCGGCGAAACGTCTAGGCTTCCCATGCACAAGTGAGATCGTAGGGTGAAACCTCCCTCCTGATCCCTTGAGCAATCGAGGTGCAAGGCAGAGGAGGCTGACTCAGTCAGAGCCTCGATGCTCGCCTCGTCGGGAGCGTTCTTGAGCTCTTGCTCCAGCCCTGCCTGAGGTTCTGAAGCAGGAGACTCTGACACACCAGGTTCTTCAACCTTCTCCCCAGCAGAAGTCTCGGCCTCTTCACGTCCGCTCTCCACCTGAGTAGAAGGCAAGCCAGCCTTGTCCTTCTTGTCTTGCTCCTCCTGCTCAGCCAACCTCTGCAGAGACGAGGGGAAGTCAGAGGGCTTGAACCCTGCTTGCCTGCACACGGGGAGGTAGAGCGAGAGGAATCGCTTCCATTCACAAAGTAGGTCAGGCTTTCTGCCCATCACCTTGAAATACTCATCCGCGTTCTCCAATACAAGGCCCCCGGCCTTCACTGCGGTCAAGAAGTCGTCTGTCTGACCCAGGAAGTAAGGGCAGTAGATCTCCGCGCGAGACACCCTCCTCTGGTCTATGTGAAGCTCCCCTAAGCGCATCGGGCTGAAGACCAATGCACACATGGGCCTGTAGAGTTTGAGAGCGCTGACGGGATTTCCTTCAAGGGCAACGAACTTGAGCTTCGGCTGCTTCTCAACTCCAGCGAAACTGCAGATCGAGTTGGACTTGAGGCTTAAAAGCTCCAGGTGCGGCATCTTTCCTAGCCCTCGCATCGAGGTTATGCGGTTGCCCTCAAGGTACAACTCGACTAGCGCGTCTGCGCAGAGATGGATGTGATGCAGGGAGTTGATCATTCTGTTCTGAAGTGAGAACACCCGTCCGAACACAAGAGACTCTTTTGTGAGAGACTTCCCTTTCTTCGGATTCTCGCACGAAAACAGAAACCCAAGGTAAACCTCCTCCGCCGGATCCTCCGATCTCCTGCGGGTAACATCCATGGCCCTTTCACCCGACGTAGTGCTTGTCTGAGAGTTGCTTCTACTCATGGCTCTTGGCTTGGGCTTTTCTACCTCTGCTGATGGATTCAAAGAGGTTGTTTCCTTTCTCCCAGCCTGTTGCCTCTGTGCAGTCTTCATCGTCCAGGACAAGGTTGGCGTAAGAGACTTGCTGGTGAACATCGATTTCGACGAAGGAGGTTTTGCTGTTGTCAGCGACTTGTTGAGGTAGGAGGGAGCTGTTGAGGTCTTGGTATCCTTGATCGTTGCATCTGCTGTGCCTGTGGAAGTCGATTCAGCGCCTTGCGGCTTTACTCTGATCGAGTCAGATGTGATGAATTGTTCCATACGCTCGCACCATTCCTGCAACAACCGGTGAGGGCTGAAGAGCGGCAGCATGCAAGGAAACCTTGAGCTGCCGTATTGAGAGGGGAGAGATGCCGTTGCTGTGACCAGAAGCCTCAGGGACTTCATCTGCTGGGACGTTAGAGGAGAACGACGTCGAAAGAGCGACACGACCAGCTTTGATGTTCGAGGCGACGTACTCGGGCAACTGCACGGCAGCCCAGCCATGGGGCAACTGAGATGAGGGAGAAGCATTGCTCTAGAGCACAGGAGGTAGTCAGCACGGGCTTCAGACGCTGTCAGATTTCCAGACCTGGTCAGGAGGAGGTTGCCTCAGAATTTCAATCTCTCGAAGTTGAGCACCAGCAGGACCAGAGCTCTCCTCTCTTCTGGGCTCTTCCTGAATTTTGGCATCGGGAGGTTTGCGCTTCATGGAGACAAGGCTGCTGGCTGAAGATGCTACTGCTGTCACCCATCCACTGCTGACTAGGAACTTTTCCCTCCTGTACTCAGCCCTTTCTCGCTTCGATAGAGACTTCAGGACTTCTTCGTCTGTTGCCTTCTTTCCCGAAGAATGATGCCTCCTCCTCCGTTGTCTCCTCTCCTCTCCTCCCCCTCCCCCTCCCTCCTCTCCCTCCCCTCCCTCCATCGCTCGTACTTCCAGGGCCTCCTTTGTTGCCATTGCCAGTGCCCTGTATCGACCTAGTCTACATATAGAGTTGGAGGTATCTGTTTCCTATGACCTCGGTCATAGAAATATCAAACTTTTGTCATAGGCCCTAGTCAAAGTCCAACGTCAGAAAGTCTGCAAGTTTGGAAGTTTGAACTTTCAAACTTTCAAACCTCAGACAACTTTGGGTTAGAAGTTTTGAGAACAAAAATGTCAAACCCGTGATGTTCTATTTCCGGTCGGAAGCTAGAACGATGGCGGGGGAGACGCCATGAGGGAGAGGAGGCGGATGGGGAGGAGAGTCAACTAGCGAGGGGAGGAGGAGGAGCTGAGGATTCAGATAAGGTCCCATGACTGTCCCATACCGCCTGCCCGCCAGCAGTGCCCAGGGCGGCTCTGCATGGATCCAGTCCGCGGTGAAGATATCATCCTTTACTTTACTGGTCTCGATAGTTCTCTTCGTATCCCTCAACGCAGGGCCGAGGGACGTCAGTCTGCTCTCAGGACCGCAGCATCCTGACAGTCTGGATGCTTCTGCGCAAGTTCTGCACGACTGGTTGCTCAAGAGAGCCTTTGCAAAGCACAAGACCGAGCGAGAAATTCATGAGCAGGGGCTGGATGAGATAGCTACCAAGATTTTGAAGTCGCTGGTGGCTCGGAAGAAGATCAAGTCCCTGGCGAGGACTTCTGCTCTCGTCTCGGACGAGCATGTGTCCAGGGGACGAATGTATCAGTCGTCGTTGTACCATGAGGGATCAACGCGCGATCGAGTAGCAAGGCCCTCGATCGTGAAGGCTCTGTTTGGTAGACGAGCAGAAGACGAGCAGCGGGACAGAATGCTTCACCGGCTTCGCATGCTAGAAAAGGCAGTCAGATATGTAAAAGAAGACCAGAGCCCGGAAGTTAGGAGGTATCTGATTTTCATATAATTGTCCTTCGTGTGTTTTGAATTGCAACCCGAAGGAAATTCATTCAGATTGACAACTTCAAGAATGCTGACAAGGTGGATCGAGATATTACGATGCGAAATGTGTCATGTTTCTCAAGAAATGATCAGGCAATCAACAAGCAAGAGGAAGCTGTCCGTCGGAAGGAAGACGACTTTGTCAACACGTATCTTTTTAGTCATAACAAGTGCTGTGCTGATGATTGGTAGCCTTTTGCAGAAAAATTTTGAAACATTCGATCAAAAGTTGGGCTTTGGAGTTGACAATGTACGCTTGCAGAGTCCGCTCAATCCAGCACTGCTGACTTGTTTGTCACAGGTTGTCAACCACTATTACAGGCATATTCCAAGCTCCCATTCATGGGAATCGCCGATGAACTCGACCGCTGGAGATGCAGTCGACTTCTTGTCAAACTCTGCAGGAAAGGGAGGTTCCAAGATAGTGATCACCCTCCAAGGAGGAGAGGACCAATCGTCTGACACTCCTGAAATCGTGATTGGAGTCAAGAGGAGGGCAGCAGCCGGCACGTCTACATCTGTGCTCTCTCAAGATGAAAGCTGTCCATGCTTGGACACTTTCACATACAAGAGCTCGATTTATAGTGGCTGCATTGCTACCGATGGCTGGGATAGACCATGGTGTGCTACTGAAGGGTGCGGTACGTGCGGGAACAGCATGATTTCTTCATCGTGTTGGAAATTCTGTGGAACCTTTGATGAGACTCCACCAAAAGCTGTGAACAGCAAGGACTCCAAAGGTGAGATGGATCACAATAACAAAGCTGGCAGTTGTGCTAGCTAGCACTTTTCCTTTAGCTAACAGCACTTTGAAGGTCCGGAGTTGCCACGTAGAGCTGAGAAGCAACCAGACACCGAACCCGCCGTTTCTACTGCTGAAAGTGGTACTACAAATGTCTCCAACTCCTCGCTCGTTTGTCACTCACCTGCTAGTAGCAGGCGGACCGGTCTTGTCACCAGCAGTTTGTAAGCGAGACGCTGGGAAGTTCTTCTGCAAGACGGACCTGATATGCGTGATCTCGTGCGAAGGATGTACAGACCTACCAAGAGGCGCGGCAGATGCCGACGGGAACATTTGCAGCCCTGCCCTGGACGAGAAGACAGAGACAACTGCTCCTGCTGCGGAGGAAAGCAGGCAGGAAGACGGAGAGGTGAAGGTGATGCTGGAAGACAGTCGTCGATGTTTCTAACGAAAGTCGTGTGGGACAGGAGGAGAGCGAGAGGAGGGGGACTGCTGAGGAGAAGAAACCTGAACATGCAGAGGAGAAAGAAGCAGAACAAGAGCCCCAACCCCCCTCAAGGAACAAAGGTCCTGCCCGTGCCTGCTGCTTGCCTCTTGTGAAGTTTTTGGATTTCTTTTATCAGAACCGGAAGTTCAGCAGGAGGAGCCCGAGAGACCAAGGAAGAAACCACAGCAAGACAAGCAGGAGGAGGAGCCAAAGGAGGAGGAGAAATCGAAGGAGCAGCCCAAAGAGGAGAGGTGAAGTCGAGGACGTGGCAAGATTGTTCTGATCGCACCTCAGGAAAGCTCCGGAAGAAAAGAACGCCGCGAAGGAGGAAGGCAAGGAGGAAAAACCAAAGGGAGACAAGCCGAGGGAGGCGGAGGCTTCAAGTGAAGGATCCGGTGGCAGTGGAGAAGGCAGGGAACCGGAGGCGAGGAAAGAAGAAGAGCGAGAAGATCAGAGCGGAAGGGGAGGAGGGGAGAATATGCGGCCTCTCACCTACAGCTCCATGTTGCCGCTGCAACGAGCAGCCTGGCGATTGCAGGAGGAGGCCCGTCACCTCTCGACAGAGCAGGAGGAGCTGCGAGACGCTCAGCAGAAGGCCAGGAGGTGAGAAGGAAGGAGGAGGTGAGGGGTGACTGACGTATTGCCAAGCATCGAGAAGAGCATCGTATCCACGAGGAAGGAACTTTCTAGCAGGGAGATGGATGGAGGTAGGAGAGAGGGAGGGGGAGGAGGAGGAGGAGGAGGAGGAGAGAGAAGGGAGAGGGAGAGAGGGAGGGAGGAGCGGAGGAGGGAAATCTTTAACTTCTGCCCGCAGGCTCGGTTGGGAATGGTTGGACATTGACATTCCTTTCATTCGGCATCGCCATCCTCGCTCTCTTGATCATGGTATGCCAGCTTCCTTGACCTCGTCCCCGCTTCAGTTGTCCTCCCCGTTTGTCTTGCGCTCTGCTCTTCACCGCTTGGCATCCTCGTCCTCTTCCTTCCCTCCTGTCCTTTCCTCCTCCCATCCCCTCCTCTTCTCATGCCTTGCGCAGGCAGCAGTCGTGGCCATTCTTGTCCTCAACAGGTCTACCAATGTAGTTATAGAAAAGTAGATTCTTCCTCTACCCTCTCCCTTATAGAAAAGTAGATTCTTCCTCTATCCTCTCCCTTCTCTCTCCTCCTCCCGCTGCTCGTTCGAACTCGATGATCAGCTTCTCCTGCGCCTGCCATGTTCTCAGCTGAGCCATCGATCCAGCCAATCCCTAGCTGGACTCACCTCCAGTCTCCGCATCCATCGCTCGAGAGCTGGTAGAGCTGTTGCCTCCCCTGCTGGCACATCAGTCCGGGTAGGAGCAACAATCCACTCCTGACCCTCCCTTGGAACCATCTCCCTCCTCATGCTCGCCCTCCCGTAGGACTTCTTCAAGCTCGCCGTCAGCTCTGCTCGCTGCTTCTCCACCAGCTCGCGAGCCTGTTGGCAGTTCATGAGAGGCAAGAGGGAAGAGGAAGGTGAGGAAAGGAGCGACGGCTGAGCACATGACAGCAGTGGAGGTTGGAGAGCTTAAGGAGGATTCACCTCCAAGAGGAGACCGTTGATGTCTTCCCTCAGCGTGCATGCTTCCCTCCTCGCGTCTTCCAACTTGACCCCCCAGAAGTCGAGGGGACGAGCGATCGAGCTTTCCTTGTCCCCCGTCCTCACCCACGTCCTTTCGTCGCCCGCTGCTTCCTGCCGGCTGCTCTCGGAGACCAGAGGGCCCTTCGCTTTCCTGCTGAGGGCCTGCTCAAGGGAAGCAAGCTTCCTCTCGAAGTACTCCACGTTCTGCAAGGGTCAAGCGAGTCAGCAAGAAGCGTCGGGTCTGTTAAGCGTGCATGCTGCTACCGCAAGTAGTCTGTTCCTCATCTCGGGGCAACTGATAGCAAGCTGAGCAGGAATAGGAACTTGAGCCTTGCCTTGCTGTTGCTGCCGCTCATGGGTAAGACAAGAATCCAAAGGATCGTTTCCATGGTTTACTTCGATCTTGCTGCCTCTTCTCCTTTCTGACTCCTTCCTGATCTCATACAACATCTGCAGACAGAATCAACACTGGAAGTGAAAAAGGGAGGCTGGAAAAGACGGCTGAGAGGAGATTATGGAGTCATGCCTTAGACACTGCTGGAATCTCCTTCGCTATCTTGACAAACACGTCGTCCCTCTTCGTCTTGCGATTATTCGGGTCCGATCTGACCGACGGATGTCAGAGGGAATCATTTCGCAGTGCAGCATTACAGGCGGTCCCAAACCGAAAGCTTCTTCACCTCGACCTCTTCATCTTCCTTGCTGTCCAACATGTCTCTGTTCATCTCATGTGAAAACAGAGGCGAGACGTATCGATCGGTCTCTTCCATGAGCTTGTAACTCTTCTTCACCAGCTCCCTCAACTCCTGCGCTCTTGTAGCTTCGCCATGGGACAAGAAGACCACGGAAGAACTTTCTTCTTCCTTCACGTCCCTGCGGCTCTTGCTGCCTGGCCGCCATGCACGTCGCGGAGGTCCCGATGTCACGACCATGAGCAAGGTTACTGCCATGAAAGTGTGAGTGGTACCTTTAGACCAATTCCAGACCGCTCCTCCCTCCCTCCCTACCTCCATGTTGTACTGTCGATCCTCTCAAATCCTCCTGTCCTCCTGTCCTCCTGTCCTCCTGTCCTCCTGTCCTCCTGTCCTCCTGTCCTCCTGTCCTCCTCCTCTCCTCTCTTTTCCTCCTTCTCTCAGCCCCTACTTCCCGCTCTACCGCCTGTCTACACATTGACAACAACTAACGTCCGTTAAAAAGGGAAGAAATAACGGATGCAACGAATCCGTTACAATGGACACCCTTTTCTGAGCCCCCCTCAGAGCTTCCCCCGCGGCATGAACTACGTCCCGCACTGCCCAGAATCCGTACGGACATGCGGGGAGGGAGGAGGGAGGAGGGAGGAGGGAGGAGGGAGGAGGAAGGAGGGAGGAGGGAGGACGGAGGATGAAGGAGGACGGAGGCAGGAGGCAGGGAAGAAGGAGAAAGGAGGAAGGAGGGATGAGAAAAGATGGGGCAGGCAAGCAGGGAGATGAAAGGAGAGGATGGATGCAGGGAGGAAGGGGGAGGAGGATAGGGGTAGAGAATAGAAGGGGAGGTGAGGATATTGAAGCAGACGGTCGGACGGGAAGGGCAAGAGGGATAAGGCGGGGGGGGACGAAAGCGCAGACCCCTCACGTCTCACATCGGAAAGCAGGGCCTCAACCTAAAGGCATGAGCGAAGACGCTGAAGGCTCCCATCGCGGGAAGAGAGAGCTGGAGTCCGATGAGGTGGAGAGGCTGCAGAAGCGTGCGAGGCACCGGAGCGGATCGCAGAACTGGAGCGCAGATGTGACAGATGAGCTAGTGAACTGCACGATGGACCTGGTGGAAGATATGCTGGCGAAGGTCGAGGTCGATGCGAACTTGAAGAAGAAGCCGCACACGCTCGTCCCCTACCTGTCGGAGGCTCTTGCCCACCTTGCGACAACCAAACCGGATGATCCTATCATCACCCTAGCTAAGGTGAACTCCTCCTCCTCCCCCTCCACCCCTCCCTCCCTCCACCCCTCCCTCCCTCCCCCCCTCCCTCCCTCCCTCCCTCCCTCCCTCCCCCCTCCCTCCCTCCCCCCCCTCCCCCTCTCTCTCTCAGTTTTCTGTTCATTTCTGTCCTCCTCTTGTTTTCTTCCAACAGGCCTGCTAGTTGTCCTCCTTGACCTCCTCGCTCTTCTCTGTTCTTCGTCGTTCTGATTGGCCGGGCAGCTTCTCACGGAGCGGGGGATAAAACCGCAGTGGGTACAAGTCTTGGCCCTCGAACTTTCGGTAATGGCGGGGGGAGGGGAGGAGGAGACGAGGGTGGGATGCGGAGAGCGAAGAAAGGATTGTGAAGGAAAAAGGAGAGAAGAGAGGAGGGAGTGATTTTCTGATGGAAAGACTACCCATGAGACTGATTCATGTCTTCCAAGGTTGGAGATTTCTTTGGTGAGATTGCACTACTTGACGATCGGCCCCGACAGGCAACAGTGAAGGCCATGACAGATGTAATGATCTTGTGCTGTTGGTTGTTTGATTCTCAGTCGTTGCTTCCTCGAGCAGTGTTGTCTCTGTGATATTCTGTTTCTTTCCTCTCCCTTCCCTTCCACTTTTCATCTTGCCTTCACCACCACCTCCTCTTTCTCCTCTTACTCCTCCTCTGACTTCTCCTACTCCTCCTCTTACTCCTCCTCGTACTCCTCCGCTAACTCCTCTTACTCCTCCTCTTACTCCTCCTCCTCCCCCTCAACCACCACCCGCCTCTTCCCCCCCCCCCTCGCTCCTTATGTCTCTTTGATCCTGACGGCGTGCCGCAGAGGACAGAGGTGCTGGTGATCTCAAGATCGGTATTCCATCATACCTGTGAAAAGCTCTCGACGACCCTCAAGGAGAACATGATCAAGTACAACGAGTTCGAGTACCTGAAGGAAGAGTTGATGGAGGAGGAGGCCCAGCCCCTCTCTCGCGAAGCTTCTTCAGCGTTTGGACAGTCGGGAGGAGGGGAGGAGGAGACTAGAGGGGAGGTGGACGGGGACGAGGACTCTGAGAAGATGTCCGATGTGGACAAGGTGAGGGCTGGTTGTGTCAAGTTTGCGATGTTGAGTTGCCATGTGAAGTGTTAGCTGTTGTGATGAATGGAGAAGATGCGGGCTTGATAAGACAATGATGATGGTGGTGGTGTAAAGATGTTGTTCAGATCTTGTTGCTGTTAAGATGGTGTTTTTTGTTGTGGAGATGTTCCGCAGTTGACATTGCGTCACTGCTGTTGAAATGTTGTTGTTGAAATCAGTGTTCGTCGAAAAAGTGAGACGATGACGTGCGATGTGCAGGATGGAGTGCAGAGCAACATGTCAGAGGCTGTGAAAGCGATGAACCTCGGGAGGAGGAGAGGAGGAGAGGAGGAGGAAGAGGAGGACGGCGCGGAGTCGAAGCAGCAGGATGAGGAGTCTGCGCGGCTAGACCAGCTCATGGGGAGCATGAGATGGTTGACGAGGGGCAGAAGGAAGGCAAAGGAGATAATCGCAAAGACCCTTGAGAAGAAAAGTTACTCGAGCGACGAGGTTTTGATGCAGAAGGTGAGGGACGGGAGGGATGGGGAGCGGTGGAGAAGGGGGAGCACTGGTGAGGAAGGGATGGAGGTAGAAGAGCATGACGTGTACACGAGCAGGAGAAGGAGCGGTGGTGTAGGAGGAAGGAGGAGCAGTAGATTAGTGGAAGGGAACGAGGAGGAAGGTAAGGAAGTGGAGTAGACGAAGAGTGAAAGATTAATGGAGGGAGGGAGGGGAGAGGGAGAGGAGGTGGAGGAGGACGAGGATGCAGGTATAATCTGTCTTCTCAGGGAGGAGCAGCAGAGCACATCTACTTCATTGAGGAAGGAACCATTGAAGTGTTTGACGATGGTGAGTGAAGAGGCTGTTGTCGAGCAGGAAGAGAGGCAGGGAAGGGGCAAGACAGGCAAGAGGAAGGAGAGGAGGAGGGAGAGGGGCAAGAGGGAAGAGGAGGGGGGAGACAGGGGGGAAGGGGAGGGGGAGGAGGGAGGAGGGAGGAGGAGTACGAGGAGGAGAAAAGAGGAAATGGGAGAGGATGGATAGCATGACTATCTTTACAGGAGAAACTCTGCGCAAGGAGCTGAAGAGGGGAGAGAGCTTCGGGGTGAGGGGAGTGGAGGTCAGGAGGTTTCTGAGTAGCCTCAAGGCCGTGGAGCTTCTTTTCGGCCTTCCGACAAGTTTCACCAAGGCCGCTGGGGAGGCGAAGGTAGGAGAGGAGGGAGATTGGGTAGGAGAGGAGGGAGGAGAGCGAGGAGAGGAGGGAGCTGAAGGAGAAGAGAGCGGGAAGAGCGGGAAGAAAGAGGAAGAGGGGGTAGGGAGAGGAGATGGAGGGAGGAGGAGGAGTGGAGAGAGGAAGAGGGACGGGGAGGGAGGTGTGAAGGAGGGGAAGAGGGAAGGAGGACGGGGAAGCGAGGAGGAGGAAGAGTTGTGATGGAGCGGCAGGTCTGGAGGCTCCCCGAAGGAGACGATGAGGAAGATTTCGAGCCTTCAAGGATCCAAGTCGATGAACTCAATCTGCAAGTTTCTCAACAAAGTCAGCCTCTTCAACGTGCTTGTGCCCGA